GGTGCATTATGCAATGGAGAAGTCGACAAAAGGGGGAGGGTGCGCGGGTAAAGAGCGAAATGGAGAGCGTGAATTCAAGTTCTGTATAATTGTGTATACGACTGCACGCTCGCTCGAGAGAGATAACGTGCAAATTGGCTCTGAGATAAATTGGCGCTCGGCGGGATTAACATCGGTTACCGCGCGGATTCGGCTTAATTTTAAGCGCAAAGCTTTGAAAGACCGTACGTGCAACGCGGCCGATAAACAGATGCAAATACAATCGTTACCTTGTTTCATTAACTCTTTATTCGCCGTGACACTATTGAGCGCAAGTCCCTGAATAACTAAATGACATGCAAATTGCATTGCTTTTGCTTTGTGCGTTTTATGTGTACGGATGGAAGAATCGGACTCGTAGAGTCCCGGTAGTCGGAAATTTCGGCGATCGGAATTATGATTTAAAGGGACCGAAACCACAGCGACTCGGTAGACAATTGACGGCCCACCGGAATTCAAATATGCGACGCGTGTTTCTGCCGACGATTTAGGTCGCCGACAATCTGCTCGTTAGGTTAGGTGGATACTTCCTCGTACACGACGTTCCAGCGATAGCGTGTGGGACGGTCTGCTTAGGCTAGTCTTCCGTTGCACTCACAAGATGGAAACGATAGATTAGCAAAGACGAATATGTCTGAAAACGATATTTCTAAAAACGTAATTTTTGTTAGTAAAATAAATTAACTTGAGTAAAAGAATTTATTTTTATTTTTATCAAAATTAATATTTCTCAGATCGATTAGTCGATCTTTTTTTTTCTGTCTAAAAATGGGTTTTAAAATAAAATTGACAAGATTGATTGTAATTAATTATTTTTGGAGAATTATGGAGAGTATTCCTTCGGACGAAATGATCTTTAGCTTTACTACAACTTTCGTGAGATCTATAATCGTTCCATCCGACGAAAAGACTGCGCAAAACCCGGCGTTTATTTCTCAGAAGCCAAGCTCAGCTCGGACGCCACCACACACGTGTCAGCGCCCGCTTTTTGCCGCTTGATATAATCGGGAAATGAAAAAAGAACGGATCGTAAAGCTGTAGTTCGCGTTCCTTTCGTGAATCTCCGTCGTCGAGCACTTATCTTCGCCGTCATGTATGCGGATGAGATTCACAGCTGGTAAAGACAGCTCTTTGCTATCGGCTCTTCAAGAGCTTCTAGCACATTAAACGTGCGAGTGAAAATTACGCGAGACCACGGCGATACACAATTTTTCTTTATTAGCCGATGCAATTGTATTTTATTTTTGACTTTCATCACTTTTTAAAAACTATTAAATTATTAATAAAAATAATAATTAACATTTTAAAATGAAATATCCGGATAAGCGAGCTGTTGTGTAGAATCTCGCGTCTGCCGTTCATTATTATCGATATAATATTAATTAGCATTTGATGGGGAAGGAAAACAATAAGGCTAAGCCTGTTAGAAATGTCACAATAGCAGCGGGGTTCAATAGACTCGGCTTTCTCGTTGCAAAAGTAGGTCGTTCGTTCAAGGGTTAAGAAACCGACGGCCAAAGGCAACCAGTCATCCATCGCGCTTCATAATTGAGCGCTCTTCTTACCGTCTGGCTTTTAGCAACCCTTCCCGGAGCGAGTGGCCTAATTTATTCGCATCGGCGGATTCTCGCGCGACCCCCCCAGACGCTCTTTCGCTCTCTTCACTACATCTTCTCTTTTCTTTTTTTTTCTCTCGCTCCCGGGTAATAAAGGCGCACAAGATTGCCCCCTGCCCGTCCTTTTTCCCTCCGCCTATGCGACGAGTGCAATTCAAGCCGGCTAAGGGCGCTCCGTCGGCAAGAGAGGTTAATGAGAGCGAACTACCCCTTTCAACATGCGCGAGTATCCGTGTCTGCGTGAACACGTGGAAAAACACGCGCGCGAAGGAACGAACGACATTCAGGATCAGTGCGGAGCTGCCACTCGAGCCACTTTTTGCGAGCCATCTTGCATGCTCGGCTAAATTAAAATTCAATCAAAACTTCACGCTTTACTGCGCATGGACAAAGTACCGTTATTATAGGTTTAATTGTTACGTGAGATCTCTGGAATTGTAATAGAAAGGCCATTTTCGCGACAGAGGAGAGAAATCGGTTAATTCTTTCTACAGAAATTGTTATTCAAGATTACAGTATATAAAATTATGAATAATAGATAAATAAATCGCATTTTAGATGTAAAACAATAAAATTTTATCTTAAATTCTGTCGCGAATTGTAGATTGTCGAAAATAAGGTTAAGAATTACTTTTGTTTATAGCAATTTATTGCATAAATATTGATTTGAAGCTCGCCAATTATATTGATTTCAATCTTTGTGACACTAAATGACACAATCAATTATTGCGGTTTGATTTCATCGTTGCATAATGCCATACTTTTTATATACGAAGTATCCAAGAAAAAACTGGAAGCGAAAGAAACTTTTTTCGTTAGAGCAATTATCTAACCGCGAGCATTGCTTCATGCTTGTACGCTCCCCTCTCCCCCCTCTCTCTCTTCTTTTCTCTTCTCTCGGCTTTTCTCTTGCTTCTCGGCGGTGCTTGCCGGCGGAGTCTCGATCTGGAAATCTCGTTAAAGTACGGTTGAAGCTAATTACAACGATCTCCGTGTAGTTTCGGAATCCTCGCCGGCAGTCTCGTGGAGGAAATTGAAAGTTCCGACCAGGGGGTCGAAATTTCCTACAGAAATTAACGTCGCGCGACGCGGAAAAGGAGTGCCATCACCCACTTCTTCGAACACTACTTTGAATAAATTTGTCGAAAGATGGACCGAACTTTTTCTGTAATTAAGCTCGAGGTTTTTCTTTATGGCTGGAACGTAAATCAAGAGGGCCACCGAGAGGCGATACGATTTAGGTGACGCAAGACGCGCCCACGGGGTTAATTAAATTGTTAGGACTACCCTAATAATGGGGGGAACGGGAGGAGTTTTCGACGAAGCTTAGACTGGAAACCACTTACGGCCGTGCGGGAGTACGCGAGTAAACATGTTGACGTTGTGTGCGTGTGTGTTTAGACTAGCTGCGAGAGATAAAGAACGGCGTTCTATATAAAGTGTAAGCGCTATGCGCTACATTTTAATTACATAAGAAGGATTAAAGCACGAGAAAGAAGTATGTGTATTTTTAGTTATTCAAGGTTTATAGAGGGTGTGTCAAAATTTATGAACGTTTCAGAGCTAATTTTTCCTTAGCGACGTCAAGAGAGATGATTTGTCGCTCTTTTGTAGTTTTTAATATCGTACAGTTTTTTAAATTAAACTTTAAATCGAAATTTTGTTAAAGTCTATTTAAAATTGAAGGAAGTTTGTTATTTGTCCCACTGAAGCTTAATTTGGGAATTACTCTTTTCCGGTTTAGTCATTTATAATTCGGAAATTATCAACGTTCTGACATTTTCGCTGAAAAACACCGTAAAAAAGTAGACGCCAAATTAATCGAAGAATCTGTTTTTAAAAGAACGAGTTTTATCTCACGAATGTCAGGAGATTTCGTATATCGATAAATCATTTCAATAATAATAATAAAATGTTATATGTGTAATGTTTTTTATTTGTACTCAATTGTCTCTATTTCTCTTTCTTAAAATTACAATGCACAGAATTTAGAGTTTCAGATTGATTTAAAAATCACAGATTATTATATCACAATATTTATTATTAGTTTTATTTCCACATTCTGCACAATGTTTTGTATGATAATTTCGATGATAGATTCGACGGTTAGTTCACCGAAATGAGTTTCACATCTCCGAGCGTAGATTATCGCCCCAGCCCGTTTCAAATGTTGCAGAAGGGTGCACAATTTATAGGTATACCACCCCTTCTTTTCGCCAACGATGTAGCATCCTACTATGAGTCATCCCCTCTATATGGGTGACCCCTAAGTGACGTCATTTACCGAACGCTCTCCCCCGTGTGCCATCGAAAGCATGTTATCCTCGGGTTATTATGCAAGGGATAGAGCAATAGTGATGCTCTGCTCTTTCTCACTCCCTTCTCTCTCTCTCTCTCTCTCTCTCTCTCTCTCTCCCAGGAGATTTCTTTAGCAATATTCACGCGGTCGCGGAACTCAGCGACGCGATTCTGAGCCAGTCTTAGCGTGAATATTATTCTCCCAAGAGAGCGATGTTATTGCAATTTCATATATTATGACACACACAGGATGGCGCTGAAATTAAATAACCAAAACCGCACTTCTCTGCGATACTCTACAAGAGTGACAATTTTACCTCAACAGAATTTCTATATTCAGGTTTTATCGGGCTATTTGAGAATTGCGGGATAAGAATGGAATTCGCTGAAATATTTGTTAAGATGACGTCATTTCCGAACTTAATCGCGAAATATATAGTCGAGGAGAGTTATATCGGAGCACTCTGTATAATGTAGAGACACGCTCAGCTGCCTCCGAGAGTTTCCTCCTGTGGCGAGCAATAAAAATGGATTGGCGTAACTTTCCTCTCGCGCTTCATAAAACAGAGTTGCTCGGAATTGCGAGTAAATCGCGATTAGAGTGAGCGTTAAAAAGGTCGGTGCGGTTTTTTCGCTTGCTGTAAACTTTGTTATCCGCGGCTCGTCGCCCACCTTACGTCCCATGGACGTCGGACGCATCGAAAGTGCGCATCGCATTGTGATGCGAAGGGCGCGACTGTGAAGGTGGAAAAATGTCAGCGGCATTTTTCAATCGCGACCTTCTTCGAGGGGAATAATAATATAATGGTATTACCATTCGCGGTGAAGATTAATAATATCTAGCGAAGCGCTCTGTTCGAGCTATTATATTCCTTAACACTGACATCGTCACAGACATACACGGGATCCATACTGGTGGCTGTCAATCCATACAAAGAAGTGGACTACTACACAAATGTGAGTAATAATAAATTTAATTATACTTAATATATTAGATTAGTTATTGTTAAATTTACTAGATTTAAGAAGGCGATTGAAGCGTTGAGAATCACATGTGATTAATGAGTGCAAATTTTGAAAAAAAAGAAGAAAATTTAACAAGTTTTATCGCTCAAGCGCGCTTTCAGGCTTCTATCATTCTCAGCTTTAATTGCATAATTTTTTTCACACATTATTTTTAATGCAGGGCATGCGTGTAAAAATAATATCAAATGAATAAATTATTAGTGGGATCGAAAAAATAAAATATCGCAAGAATTGAAATAAAAATAGAACATTTTTAGAGTGTTACTGTGCAAAGTTGATTTAATCACGAAAAAAATAGAAGTATCGATATAATGACGTTCGTCGCAGTTTTTAAAAATTATTTACTTCCGACCTTGCGTCGGTTCGAAATATAAAAGAAGAGAAAGATCGTTTTCATTCAAGCGAGGGACAGGGCTAATTCGACGAATGTTATTGGTGGGCGACGTGATCGATGGAACCGGCTCGATAGATCTCTCGATGTGTGCGAAGCGCGCTGTGCTTCCTGCGGCTGACAGAAGCCGGAAGCACCGGTGAGGAATAGTAAATATCAGGCACAATGCGTGACGCTGGTGGGAGAGAAAAAAAAGGGCCATACGTGCACTATACGCATTAATCTTTTGACGGAGATAAACCGCTGCTGTAGTCGTCGTCGTTGAAAGATTAAAACCGCTGTCTCGGATCTTTCGCTCGTCCGACGCACTTTTCGCATGCAGCGGTTCTCTTGTTGCAACGATGCATTGCGAAAACAAGAAGCAGCTGACGGCCTGTTTAGCGAATTCTTAGATGTTTGATAATTGTGTTAACAAAATTTAGTATGTTATGAAACTTTCATGATTGATTTTCCGAAACTCTTGCGGATAAAAATCAAGATAAATATTGCAGTATTATAAACTGAGCAAGATAAAATAAAATGATAGAATAAAAATTGAACGATGAATTGAATTATTTGGAAAATTAATATCTTCAGAGTTGTTGATTTTATATTTGTAATAAGAATTTTGAGAAGATATTAAAACTGCGATATAAAATACATTTAATCTTAATTATTATTATGAGAAGTTTTGACAAAAATATTTAAATCTGAATTAGCAAAAAAAAAAAACGTTTTTTACTTGTTCTTTTAAATGTTTTAATGCTTGATCGCGTCCAAACTGAATACGAGAGATTTGAAATACTCGATTATATATTCCGCTTTACATTGCTGGCTAAATTGCGAGGTTCTCCGCGAACCTTATCTGGCATTGCACTTCCTCGTCGCGTGTGCACGCGCAATTTGCGTATGCTTACTCGTGCGTAATTATCGCGCCTGCCCGTGCTTTTCCGCGGATGTCTTCGCGAATCCACAAAGCGTATACCGTGGCAGGACGCTTTTATCGCGCTGGCCCGCGATCTAAAAACAGGAAACGGAAGCCACGGCGCACTTACGTTGAGATAACTCGCGAAACGACGAGGCTTTTCTGGGTCACGTTGACGGCACGAAACTCAAGCGATAGCACGCTTGGCTTGTTTTTCGAGTGACGAACGACAATGTTAACAATTAATTCGATCGACGCGCTCATTTGCGCGGAATCGCGATCACAATTGCTCTCGGCGTGGCGGGCGAACGGAGGGCCTCGAAAGTTATCGGTGATAAATTCCCCTCGTTCGTCGCTCGTCCGACGAAACGCTAAGTACACGTTCTTAATAATCGAGTGGTGCACTTTCCTTCTCTCTTCCTCGGCGTATCTATTTTCGGGTGCACGTGCTGTTGCAGCGGCGGCTGCGGCGTCTGCGTTCCCTCGCGCGCGTGCCGCAGACTTATCGCGTCAATAGTTATGTCTCGTCCGCGCCCTACGATCAGGAGCGAATTATTTCTGGGAGACCGAATAGTCGATGGTACTTCGAACAGAGAATGGAGAGATGACAAACGAGAAGCCAGTGGTTTCAGAAATATTGTTCAACTAAAAATTTTATAAATCAGAATACGATTACAATTGATGCTAAATGTTTGAATAAAAGTTGATAGCTTTGGAATTTTTGGGGATAAGAAAAGGATATATTTTAGACTTAAAAAAGTACTGCTATTAGTAATTTAAATAAGGGAAATCTAAAATGTTTTACTAGCTTGAGCGTTAGCGCGTGTGTGTATTTTGAAGAATCTTTTCTCGCCATGCGAGGGATTGTTAATGCTGAGCTCATATAGAAAACAGTTCCCTCTTTCCACTTTTGAAAAAAATCTTTAAACCATCACAGCGTTGTGTACAGTCACGTCGCAGAGAAAGCGTTGAGCAACGGTGCGTGCGAGCGCAAATTGAATTGGACGGTGCGAGAAGTGCAGCGATGAAATTTACTTTGTCTCGCGTTTAGGGAACGAGTTCGCTCCAGACACTTTACACATTTTATTGTGCCACCTTCACAATATAAATCCACCGAAGAGGGAGATTTTTAAAAGGGGGAGGAAGTATTTTTAACGCCGAAAAAAAGTAGCTTACTCTCGCGAGCTCGATTAACGGAATTAAAAGACGAAAAAGCCCGATGCTTCTATCATCATTTTCCTCACGCTTTGTAACGTTTTACTTCAGTGCCCCAAATCTCGAGCGTTACCGGCCGAAACGGCGGAGCGAAAAGAAGATGAAAACAGATTGGCGTAATTGTGTTATTCGCGGAAATTCGCGCGGTGCGGTAACACGCGTGATTGCGAAGGTCAACCAGCGGGTACCGGCGCGACCAAGGACCCCTGCCGGGGCTCGAAGGAAAAGGGTGGCACGCCGTGGTGGTGCACGCCCCGCGTTATTGATCGCGCCGAAGCACGCGGATCGGATTCGGGACTCGCCGTGGTCGTCTCGCAGCCGCCAGTGCACATTTCTCCCGGGTACCCTCGCTCGATCCTCCCGTCGGGGTGGGGATCGCGATCATTTATGCATGATTTGCAAACTCGCGAATTAAATTCATTTTTTTTGCCCTCAGGTTTGCACGAGCAATTGAAACAAATTCACTCGTCGCAGTGAAAATCTCCTTTCGTCTCTATAAGCAAAAATTATTAATTGCATGTAAAATATTTAAGCGCAAGGAATATTACGGTATGATAAAAATATACTTTGTTTCCAAGAATTTTTACATTGATGTAAATTTCTTGAGTGATTGAAAAAATTGCGGGCGTCGCACTTTGCGAATGTAACGATTGAAAAATAATGAAATGCTTTCACGCGGTTGTATAAACGCTAACTATTTTTCCGAAGAGTACAAATTTCAGAGAGTAATATTTATAATTGATCGATTGCGGGACAATTTTACCATCCGCGAAGCGGATGTTTATTTATTTGTTGCATTTATTTTCGTCGCATTTTCGAGAATTAAGAATGTAATTAAATATTAACTGTATGCACGACACAACTTTATTGATCGATAAATAAGCAAATATACTCTGATTATTGTCGAGGCAGATGATTGCTACTTCTACAGCAAACCTGCGATCAAAGTCGTGCAAATATTTGCCGATATTAATGGGCTGGAAATACAAAGGACTTGTGTAAAGCTCTTTCAACCGTATTGGATCAAACGATCGGCACGATTATAATATGATTATACAAACAATTATTGGTTCAGCGATTAACTGGAAAAAATTATATCTATTTCCCGTGCGCGAAAATTATTTTCAATCTTTCCGGTGCAACAAAGAATAGCGATGGACGAGAGATAGAAGTTTTTTTTTTGGGAGGGAGGATCTCTTGGATAATCAACGGTGTAATTCGATTTAGGGTAATCGATTGGATACTCTACACATAGCGGATGGTTTAATGAACAGTCAACACTTGTAATAATCGAGGAGGCTGACGTACCGTAAGTGGGTCGACCCGTTTCATTCGCAGACGTGGTCTCAAAGCGCCTATCGCAAACCTATCGCAAACGCTCCTTTGAAGGAACATCGTAAACAGTTCCCTGACCCTATTAGTACAAGCAGAATCGACGCCAATCAATCGTCCGTGAAGATATTTCGATCCGGGCCTTTCGCTCGCCGCTCCTTTTCGGTGCGCGCCAAAAGCGCAATGAAAAATCCCGTTTCTTGCATCGGAGCGTTTGACATGCGTTCGATTCCTTCGCAACCGATACTGATCGATGGACGTGACCCACTAACGAAATGGAACGGGAAATCGACATCCCTTTGCGCTTCTATCCAAGTCAACGAACGCCGCGGCGAAGCGGTAGGCTCGAGAAAAGCGCGACGCTGATCAAATAAACGTTGCGCGCGTTCCAAGAAGCTTGCCTCTTTTTCCAAATTTGCCTGAAATTTTCAATGTTCTCAGTATCTGAACTTAAATTGCAAAATTTCCATACCGACAATAATGATTCGAATGTTTTAAGGCGTTTTCTCGGATCTCTCGTTGCAAAAGCGAGAAATTGTGTTAAACCTTTTCTTGCATTTGTGTATCGAAATAAATTAAAGACGCTCTTTTCGTAGATTAACAAATAGCTGAAAATCTGGATTATCGCAAGTAGAAAGCTCATTTATTCGATATTGTAAAAAAGTAATTTGCATAATTTCCGATCTGTAACATCGTGATTAAATATAACTGCGGTGGGGGAACAGGAGCGCTTTAATGTGTTCACATGATCTAGAAATAAATTGTAAATCTTAGAATTTCCAGCGTTATATAAACGTGATAAATAGATCGTGAGAAGATACGTTGTTATAAATACATAGTATAATATTACTGTACCCATCCATGGGTGTGATGAATATATTTTTGTGAATACGGTCTAAGCTCAAAAAAAGAAGAAGAAGCGATAAGAAGCGCCGAACACATTTCCGGTCGCTGCCACCTGGAGTACGTCCCTCCACGCGTATTTTTATATCCCCGCTTGTTTTCTTAAGGGTTTCTCGACTGCGCCGCGGCTTATCTTGAGCGGCCCATCTCTACAAATATGTCTCGAGATAATCTCTATCGAAAATAACTCGACACGCTACGGTTGTATCGCGATATTCTTTTTAAATCGCTCCATTATATAAAAATCAGCGTTCAGAATGCGATCTGTTTAATCAAATTATTGATTTTTATGACGTATTTTAGAGATAATTCTTTAGGAAGCGGAAAATAAATGATTTAATTTTCAGTTTGACTGTAACTCAATACATTCAGTCGTATTTAATATCGGACGAACGGAAAAGCGATGAAAATTATTGCAACATTTGATTAAAGATATTTGATAAAACTTGACAATCGTCTCGACTGCTAAAGTTAATTTTTTACAAAGAAATAAAATTAGAAAATTTGCGTATTATTGCAGAAAACTGTTAATTGCGAATTGGAATTTTAGTTTTATGCGAAAACGAATGCTAAATAAATTAATAATAATTGGATTAATCGGTTAATGTTAAATTAATTATTGTATTTCTCAAGAGAGTCGGCATTTTCGAAACTCGAATACTTCCCAAATCACTCGACAGTTTCGTGTCGTCGGCAAGTGAGATTTGATTTATTAGTCACAGGATTAATTTTCGCGTTTCAATTTCACCGAGGCAATTCGTCCATCCTCTTCCCCGCCATCGAGCGGTTCGAAAGGCCCGTTTTGTCGCAATGCAACGCACCTCCTCCTCGTTATCATACCGCGGCAATTTCCAGGCGAGTGCATTCCACTCGTTTGTAACGAGCGCATCGGAGCGCATTCGCTCTTCGTCGGCCGGCTCGCGCTCGAGGGAGGTCTGATACGAAACTGGGTTGCACTACTTCGGCCGAGACTAACAGTCTCTCTGAGCAACGTGCGACCCAGGCAACGGGGTTCTCGTGCAGAGCTCTCGTAACATATACATACATGTCCCCGGGGGGAGCAGGCGAATAAAGGGGCGAGAGAGGGGGAAGGGTCTGCAATGAAACTCGGTCGCGTCGATGCATGCGGCTATCGAGTGTCGTCGCGATTAATCAGGTTACCGGGCTTGATGGGTTACACACCCCGCGTGCCCACATTTTCAGATCCCTATCCGGACTGTATCGCGGCGTTAACCACACATGTACATCCCGGCCTTCTATTTCGCGCTAAATGAGCGGAGTACGCGAAGAAGGCCGCGGCGCATTCGCGTCTCACACTTGCAATTAGCGCCAGCCGCGACCGTCCTGCATTAATCCTGCTATATTGTAAATAATATATTATACGAACAAGATCAAAGTTCTTTGTATATGCACATCCATTAAACTGTAAATATGTGCAAATAAGAGCCAACGTGGTCGCGGAATTAATTTTTAGTACATTAGGAAATTAATCAGAACGCTCTGCGTTGAAATTTTTGAGTGTGTTAATTAGAATGCGGGAAATAATGTCGATCTGTGTTTTCAGACATTTTTAATTCTCACTCGAATATCAGGAGAGAAATTTTTTCCCAATAATTTCTCTTTCTAAGAATTTGTGTTATTAATGTTCGCGGAAAGGAAATGGAAATTGACATTATTCACGCGTTTTAATGTATTTACCAAAAAATAATGAATCAAAAATGTTTATTGATAGATGAAGTTTGGATGAATTTTTGAACGTACTAAAAAATTTCACATTATGGTTCTTGTATTAGAATTATAATTGGAATATATACAGAGAATTATATATTATATTAGATAGAACATATATTTTAGAATTATATTAGAATATTACAATTGATTTAACGATTGAACATGATATTAGTTCTGTTGAAAAATTATTTTCATAAAAGATATTTGCATAAATCACATTATATTTTATTTGCTATAAATTGCTTTATTTAAAAATTTGTAAGGCCTGCAATTTAACAGAAATATAAGATTCCATATTTTTAACACGATTCGCCAATTCTCTTTGGAGACTCTATTGGTCTTTCAAATGCTCTCTGCGCTCGCGAACGTCTAAAAAGCTTTGTCCATTTCAGTGGAATAGATCGAGCTCGCTCTCTTTTTCGTTTTTCGTATAACAAGAATACCGTTCGTGAGAATCGGACGGGGCTTTTAAAGCAACTCGTTAACGGCCGGAACCTCGTTTCAACGAAAAGGAAATATCCTTCTCGCCTTTTCGCAGGAGTACGTGAATCGATACCATGGGCAGAAGATGGGCGCCTTGGAGCCGCATGTGTTCGCCCTGGCGGAGGCGGCGTACAAGTCTCTGCAAGACACCGAGAGCAACCAGTCCTGCGTGATATCGGGCGAGAGCGGGGCCGGCAAGACCGAAAGCACCAAGTTCATTCTGCAATACCTGTGTTCGGTCACCAGCAACGTCGACACGTGGGTGGAGCAGCAGATCCTGGAGGCCAACACCATTCTGGAGGCGTTCGGTAATCGATAATAATATTATCATATTTTGTTAAAAATAAATAAATGATATCTCTGTTTGTTGCTTTTGTAAATGCGAGGACGCAAGACGCACTAGATTTACAAAGCCACGTCTGGTTGCACTTATGACGCTCGCATAGAGAGATTTTCACTATTGAAGATTGAATATTCGCGACAAGTTGTCGAGATTTCTCATTTGAATTCGTAAAAAATTTATTTATCTAATAAATAATTTTGTTCTAGAAGAGATTAAAAGCATTATTTACGATGATGTATGAAATTGTGTATTGCAAATAGAGGAGAGTTAAAAAATTGGGCATACTAAATTATTGCCACTCGGATGAAATTAAATTGTAGCTAAACGGAACGATTAAATTGTGGCTAAACAAAACGATTAAAACGAGAATTGACGTTCCATTGATGCGTGAAGATATAAGCGGTGATAATAGAGCAGATCTTAATCGCGTGATCCGAAAGTAATCGCGATTCACCAGTCGAAGTCTCACTATGAATGCGCGACAGCAACTCAGGTGTTAAATGCAGCATACGAGGGGAACAAAGTGGGTCACGGAAAAAAGAGATTTTATGAATAAAACACGCCACTGGCGTCATTCATTCATCTCACATGAAATAACTGGGATGCTGAGACTTTCTTTGCATCCGGTTTATTTTTGGAGCTAAGCTATCTTCGTAGCATCCTCGCCCCTTTCATACCTAAACGAATCTGGAAAATCTTGAAACGCAATGTATATACAAACTGAAATGCTTTATATCTCCCCAACAAGCTAATATATCCTTTTTCCCTCGAATATATTGCAAATTTAAACAAGAAAATATGTCTTATCGCTTTTAAAAAATTGTAGTTTATTTATGAGATGTTTAAATTTCTCGAAATTCGCACACAAATAGCGATATTTCTAACAAACTAATCTATTCTTTTCTTTTTCAAGATGAATTGTAAATAAAAAAATGTAAAAGAATTACCTTTATAATAATTTTTATATAGTTTTTTTTTTTTTTGGAAAAAGGAGAGGTACTTAAAGTTTCTAATACTTTAGTAAGCACTTATTTACACAAGTATTAGAGTATTAGTATCGAGATTAACTCGAGGGATTTAATTCGCGGAAACAGGCAACGCGAAGACCGTGCGGAACGACAACAGCTCGCGCTTCGGCAAGTTTATGCAGGTGTGCTTCGACACCAAGTGGATGATTAAGGGATGCATCATCCAGGATTACCTGCTGGAGCAGAGCCGCATCACCTTTCAAAGCCCGGGCGAGCGCAATTATCACGTCTTCTATCAGGTGGTCGAGGCCGGCACGCGGGACAAGGAATTCGCCGAGCAATATAAACTACGTCCGGCCGCCCACTACAAATATCTCAATCAGTCCGGCAGCGTGAAGGTCGATGGGTTTTCCGACTCGAAGAAGCTCGACGCTCTCAGGCTCGCCTTTAATGTGCTCCAGGTATGAGACGGGAGATGGGAAGAAATTCACGGCATTGCTCCTCCTATTATTGAATTATTAATTGCTTTCCGTCGCGTAGGTCGCGCCGGAAATGTGCGAAGGCATTTTCCGGGTGCTGTCGGCTATCCTGTGGCTCGGAAACCTGAGCTTCGAGGACGTCGACGGCGAGAGATGCGAGCTGTCGAACGAGGACGGGGACATAGTGGACACGGTGGCGCCGCTGCTGGGCCTGCAGGTGGAGGATCTCACCAAGGTGGTGCTGATACGGCAGATAAACGTGCGGGGAAACATCACGGAGATCCCGTTGAAGGTGCAGGAGGCGCGGGAGAACAGGCACGCGATGGCGAAAGCGCTCTACTCGCGCACCTTCGCCTGGCTCATCAATCACATCAATAATTGCACGAATCCGGGCCAGGATAGCTCGCGATTCCTCGGCGTGCTCGATATCTTCGGCTTCGAGAACTTCACGCTGAACAGCTTCGAGCAGCTCTGCATCAATTACACGAACGAGAAGCTGCATAAGTTCTTCAATCACTACGTCTTCGCGCTGGAGCAGGAACTCGTAAGCTTTTACTCCACACTTGGCTCGCGTATAGATTTCTGCTTTTTGCGCTAAAGAATATCGATATCCGTCGAATAAATAAGTGCGATAAAATACGTAATGATGCATTTTATGCGAATTATAATTCTTTTATGTGACCACTGTGTGAAAGAAGGATAAGTATCGAGTGGATTTGGACTTTTCAGTACCGTCAAGAGGAGATCCGATACTCCCACATCACGTTCACGGACAACACCATGTGCCTGGAGCTGATCGAGAAGCCTCCGCGATGTGTTCTTAAGTTACTGACCGAGCAGTGCCATATGCCGAAGGGGTCGGACTTGGCTTACCTCACGAACTTGCACGCGGAATTCGAGAACCACCCGTGCTACGTGAAGGGGGACGATCGGCGGAAGTGGGAGAAGGAGTTCGGGGTCAAGCACTACGCCGGCTGCGTCACGTACACCGTCGAGGGTTTCGTCGACAAGAATCGCGACGTGCAGCAGGACGTGTTCTTCGATTTCATGTCGAGGAGCACGAACGAGTTCGTTCAGGAGATCAGCGTCTATCAGGACCTCCTGGGGTGCACTATCGCGCGCACGACCGCCGGCGCGGCCACGACCATGTCCCGCGGGACGTCCAAGGGCAAGCCGACCCTCTGCGACTCCTTCCGGCACCAGCTGCAGGCTCTGGTGGACGTGCTGCAGGCGACGACGCCGTGGTACGCGCGCTGCATCAAGCCGAACATGGAGAAGCAGGCCAATCACTACGACGAGAAGCTGGTCCTGGATCAGCTCAAGTATCTCGGTATGTTGGATATTATACGCATACGCAAGGAGGGCTTTCCGATACACATGTCGTTCCACGACTTCGTCGCGAGGTACCGTTGCCTCGACAAGCGCCGCTTCTCGCTCTCCAGCAACGAGAAAGAGGCGACCAGGTACTTGATTAGCAATCAAGGTATATCGGGAAACGAGTGGCAGATCGGCCGGACGAAGGTGTTCCTCAGGAGCTACGTGCACGAGCCACTGGAGGATTCAAGAAATCAGGTGGTAACGAGCAACGCCATTATGATACAAAAGATTTGGCGAGGATATATCAAACAGCGAGGTACCATTTTTCGCATTTTTTTTCCTCTCACAAATTCAGTCGAAAGTCATTTATTTATCGAAGAATTTATTTATCCAAAAATTGTCACGCACCTTCCACTCTTTTGTCCCGATAGAATACAAGCGCGTAAGGGAAGCGGCGCTGAAGGTGCAGCACGCGTATCGCGGCTGGAAGCTGCGAATAATGTTCATCAGGAAGCGCAGGGCCGCCATAGTGATTCAGAGCCACTTGCGGGGCGTCTTCGCGAGGGAGGTGGCCGCGGCGCTGCGAGAAATGAGACGAGTCGACGAGGAAATGAGGAAGAGGGAGCGGCTGGAGGAGGAACGAAGACTGATGGAGGACAAGAAGGCGCTGGAGGAGAGCCAGAGGTAAGGGAGGCGGCGGCCGTTCAATTTTCTTAAGCGTTTCCATTAGCCTACTTCGACTCGCTAACGGACGTAAGATAATCGGCGGAAACCGATTAATTATGCGTGTTATCGATTGTATGCGTTAATGATTTCCGTTTGTGTCCCTTTTCTGCAGCGCGCAGTACACCGGTATTGTCGGGATGGAGTCCGGGTAAGTCATCTATACGACGGAAGCTCGTGTGACGTGTATTACGACGGCACGCGTTCGTTGCATGCTTAAGTATCATCGCGTGTAGCTGGACATTTGTTAGCGCGCTATCGCTTTCCACTTTGATACACACGAGCATTGTTATATATTAAAATGATTGCGATGCGAATAAACGCTACATTGTAATCGAGTGTGTTAGATGCGGAATAACATTCCACGCGGCAGAATTCGAAACATTGATTCAGAAAGACATACTACCGCAATCGCCATAAATCATAAACATGTTACACGGCATTTTTTGTTTACTCAACTTTATTCTCTTAACGTTTTTCTTGCTTCAAGTTTTTAAACTCGTTCTTTTAAGATGTTGCATCCGCACCAAGTGATTATGATTTAATTACTGTAGCGTTACACAATATTTGTCTTGCTCGTGACATTTGCATTTTCAACGAGGAGATCAATCGACGACCGCAGTGCATAATAATTTTATGTCTTGCAGGAAGGCGCAGGAAGAGATCGCCGCGCTGTCGCAGATGGCCGAGCAGATGAACTCGAAGATGGCCGCGTCGGACTTGCAATCGGTGGACCTCGATAATCTATTCTCCTTCCTGTCCGACGTGCAGTCGACCAAGAGCAATCAGATTATTGACGAGATCGGCGAGCAGATGGACGAGCTGGTGGAAGACCTGGACGTGGAATTGGAGACCGTCATTCAACAAGAGATGGAATTGAACGCCAAGGCCGAATCGAATGTCACCTCGCCCGTCAACGGGCAGGAAGTGACGTCGCCGCAACAGCAGCGGATACCCTGCACGAACAGCGTGAGCAGCAACAAGCTCGGTCAGCCGAGTCTTCCGGAACCTACGGGACCGCCGCCACCGCCGCCACCCCCGACGACGCAATCTTCAGCCATGAACGGCAGCGATTCGTCGAGCGACAACGGCGAGCCGATCTACGAGTCCGTGTTGCCGCGCGACGACAATGAGCCTGGCAGTCCAGTCGCCCACAATGGCAGCAGTCCAGGTCAGATGGTGAACGGCGAGGCGTGCGGATCGCCGCCGCCGATACCGGGCGGCAAATTGCCGAAGGAGGTCGCCGGCAGTCCGCCGTCCAGGCCGGAGTCCAGGAGTTCCAACAGCCATCATCACTCGCATCACCATCATCATCATCATCAGACGATACCGCAGGCGCAGCAGAACGGCCACGATCAACCGCAGTCGCAGTCGCAAGCGTCGCAGCAGCTGCCGGTCGAACGCGAGCAGCGGCGCAAGTGCCGCGTGGAGCGGAAGCTGCAGGAACTGGAGGATAAAAAGGAGCAGGACATCGAGGCGACCTACCACGATATCGTGGAGTTCGCGCAGAACTACTTCAACAGCCACGAGCGCTCGCCGGAGGGCACCATAATGGCCACGTTGACGAGGAAGTCGCGCGGCAAGAGCATCGAGTTCATCCCGAAGTACGAGATGGTCACGTATTACAAAGGCTCCAGCATCCCGAATTCGCATATTCATATGTACGATCCTGATAACGTGAACGTCGCCTGTTCCGTATTCAGAGTAAGTCGGTTGCATGAAAATTGCAAGAGGGAATTTTTGATTTCCTTAAAGAATAAATCGGAATTGACTTTTAACAATTCTATCCTTTTCCCTGATGGAAATATTTTGCTGAAAGTACTATGAAATCAATGAAAAGTAAAATAAAAGTTTTTGAAAAATTACTGAATATATTTGAAAATTAATCATAATTTTCCGTGTGAAAATTTAATGTAATACTATGAAATATAAGGAAAGTTAAAATATACTGCTGGAAAGTAATAAAAGAGTTTTTTAATAATTATCATTATGAAATTTACTGAAGTGAACTGAAAACTGTTACTTTTTAATGAAAAATTGCTGAAACATTTATGAAATTAATTAATGGGGTTAATTGAGAGAAATTTTCAAATACATTTCAGCAAAATTTCGTTATATTTTTAGAAAAATATTTCCATCAGGGTTGCTGCAATTGCAGTCACGATTATTATGCCTATAATAAAAAAGCTTGGCGATCTTAACAGAAATGTTTCTTAATTTACATTTAAACCGATGAAAAGATGAAAAATATATCTCTCTCTTTCCAGTTTTATATATGATTGCAACGTATAATTATTACAATTGTACATGTTGTCTTTTTCTTTCAGGATTTGTGCAAGTACATACGCGGCGAGATGAAGCTAGATCAGGAGATAGTCACGATCCAGAGCATTATCGCTTACGGCATCGAGCGGGAGGAGTTGCGTGACGAGATCTACGTGCAATGCATGCGTCAAGCGACCAACAATCCCAACGCCGAGTGGGCGGAGCGCGTGTGGCTGCTATTGTGCCTCGCGATCGTGGCTTTTCAACCGAGCAAGCTCCTCTACAAATACTTTTCCTCCTTCCTGAAGAAGAATCTCGCCCTCGAGGGCAAGCTGCGGCAATACGTGCAGTGGTGCGTGGATAATTGCAAGAACACGAAGGTGTCCTGCAGGCAGCATCCGCCGTCCACGGTGGAAATCGCCGCCATGAGACGATTGGGCACCATAGTCTGCCGATTCTTCTTCCTCGACGGAAGAACGAAGGCGATTGATGTGCATCCGACTGACACGGCTGCCGACGCCGTCGCCAAGCTCGGCGAGAAGCTGGGTCTTCGGTCATTGGAAGGCTGGGCCATTTATCAGAGCAGACCGGACGGAGAGGAGCACGTGCGGGCTCACGATTATCTGTACGACGTGATCGCCGCGTGGGAAATGTAAGTGTAAATGTGTATAATCTCAGTCGGGAATTTATTATACATTTATTTTTTACATTATCGACATTTCTTGAACTGCAGGAAACAATGCAAATTAAACACGGCGCAATCGACATTCTCGACGTTGCGACGCGGCAACAACACCACTCTGGGCAGCGGCGACAATCGCTTCGTCTTCAAGCGAAGATTATTCCGCAATCCAAGAGAGATCTCGCAGGATCCCGTGGAAGTTAATATGCTGTACGCGCAGGCGGTTTACAACGTCGTGAAGGTACGAAGAAGCGGGACACTTTATTGTAACACTGAAACTGTCATTCTCACTTTATTCATCTGTGTTTCAGTGCGACGATTTTCCGGTATCTGAAAAAGTGGCGTTGCAGTTAGCGGGATTGCAGGCGCAAGTGTCCCTCGGCGATCCCAAGGACAACGACAGACTGGATTATTACAGCGAGGTGGACAGTTTCTTGCCGTACAGGATCAGCCGTGCCCGCGGCGACGATGTCTGGGTGCCGATCATAGCGCAAGCGCACCGGCAATACGGCGCCGGGCGCAAGGAGCTCGCGGCCAAGGTGCTCTATCTGTCCTGCGTGATGCAGTATCCCCTCTACGGCACGACTATGTTCAACGTCACCTATCGCGGATACTGGTCTTACGGCAATCAACTGATTCTCGGCATCAACTGCGACGGGCTCATGCTGATCAAGCCGGACGACAAGTTTGTTCTGTCCGAGTACCGTTATCAGGACGTCGAGAGCATCATGCTGGACCCGAGCGACTCGTTCATCACGATCTCACTGCTGCGACACAATCCCGACAGCTCGCACAAGTGCTTCGTCTTCGAGACCGCGCAGAAGAACGAGATAGGCAGCCTGATCGTCAGCTACTGCTCGGCGCTGGCCGGCTGGATCACGGAAAACGAGGTCCCGATGAAGAAGCTCAAGTGCATCACCAACGAGGACCGCATCAGGCTCTATCACAATTTGGTCAACTGTCGACGTGCGCTGGTCGACTCGGAGCTACTGAGGAAACCGCAGGACTCCGGCGGTGGTTTCCTCAGGAACACGCTCAGACGGCTGTCCAAGCACCGAATCGAGAAGCTCAGGCAGGAACACGGAAGCGCCGATCACGGTGAGACGTACAAGGGTTTCCCGTACGCCTACTGGGCGTTCAGCAGGCAGCAAGTGCCGCAGAGCCTGTCGAAGCTGCCCGATCCCGACGAGCAGGTGTCCCTCAGCATCTTCCAGCTGATCCTGACGTACGCGGGACTCGGCCAGAACGGCGACACGGTGCGCAGAGTCGAGGACGAGCACGTGAATCTCATACAAACCGTGATGGAGCGTTGCATACGGAAGGAAAACCTGCTGGGCGAGCTGTACCTTCAGCTGATCAAGCAGACGACCGATCATCCGGATCCCAATAATCGCGTCAATCTGCGGCACTGGGCGTTGCTCTCGCTCGCGTGTTCCGTGATCCTGCCGCCTCAGAAGACCATACGCAAATATTTGGTCGCGCATCTGAAGCGATGCGCCAGCGACTACGTCACCGAGGAGGGCAAATACGCGAGATTCGCGGAGAAGTGCCTTTACAAGACTCAGGGTACACGCAGGCGGCAGTGGCCGCCGAGTCGCGAGGAGATCATGTGCACCATCAATCGCCGGCCGATCTACGCGAGATTCCACTTCATGGACGGCCAGTATCACGCCGTCGAGTTTCATCCGTCTGCGACCGCCAGGGACGTCATGGAGCTCATTAAGGCTAAGATAGGACTCGACGAGAGTGCCATGGGTGAGTTCATATCATCCCGTATCTTTCTACGTTGGTGTTTTAACCAGTTGAGTGGTAGACTTTTCCGAAAGATTTGTGCCAAAAGTGGTAAGAGCCAAAAGTTAAAATTTCGAAAAAGCAACTTTTCGGAATGGGTGTGGATCCCCCCCCTCCCCCGCCCTGAGGGCGGGGGGCAGAATAGGGTGGAAAATGTTAAATGGCACTATGGGTCGAGTGGGGATCATTTGAAAGGGCGTTTCAAGACAAGAACAATGATTTTTGAAAATGTTTACTACGACTTTCCAGTCAAAAAGTGGAGGTGGATCAAAAAAGGGGTATGGACTTCCGAAAAGCTATCACCTCCGATTTGGCTTACATTCAGCCTAAATACTTATTTTATCTAGTAAATAATATTCCCAAATGGATTTTTGGCGCAAATGCCCCCTCCGCCCCCAGCCCCCCTCAAAGGTTCAAAAATAAAACTGTTTTTGTTAATTATTTCAGAAAGTATTCATTGTACGAAAAAAGTTGTCAAACAAAAAATGAAGCTCATAAAAAGCTCTACAAATAAGGTCTTATACATATTTCACCTAACTCTAATATTTTAGTCGTTTTCACAATTAACAGTCGCCATATTGGATCCGCTATTTTGAATTTTGCAATTTTGACAACAGAATCAAATTCTGCAGCCCAAGAAACCTTAGGGTATCAAGTTTTGTGCAAATCTGTTGAAAATTAGTGGAGTTATTTAGAAATGTACATATATGACACATTATCACGTTTGGCACTTTTTTTTGTACATATATGATACATTACCACTCAACTGGTTAATATCGTGTACTTTTCAGTGGCTTTTGGAAGTTAATTAATTGACTCACCAATTTTTCAGTCGCTTCGAAACTTTGTATCGAATGTCTTAAGTCTTGAGTTAAATAATAATAAATTGAGAAATTGAAATCTTAATGATATTGTCAATTCAATATGAAATGCACATTTCAGGCTACGCGATCTACGAAGTCTTGGGGCCAACCGAGCGATCGTTGATCCCCGAGGAGAAGATCGCCGATGTCATGTCCAAGTGGGAACGATACAGGGCGTCGCAGCAGGGCCAACAGCAGCGGAAGCACGCGCACCACTTCTTCCTGTTCAAGAAACATCTGTTCCTGGACCAATACATGAATTTGGACGATCCTGTGGAGAAGGAGCTGCTGTATCATCAAGTGCTGCACGATTTGCGCGCTGATCGGTTTCCCATCACCGAGAAAGAAGCTGTGAGTGGCGCGATGCGCGAACGTCGCTCATTCGGCCTTGCGCGTATAACGCGTTGTCATTGCTTGCAGATGATGCTGACGGCTTTGCAGGCGCAATTGGAACTAGGCGACTCCCTGGACACCATAATGGAGCAAGATTACCGAACGATATCGAGCCACTGCTTGTCGTCGAGGCTGGTGCCGTGCTTGTGCGTGGACGGTGTGCGCCAGCATCATCAGTCCCTGCGCGGGATGTCCGCGCCCGAGGCGAAGAAGGCCTTCCTGAATCTGATTCAGTCGTGGCCGTTGCACCGCGCGACCATCTTCGACGTGATGCAGTCGTTCACCTCGAACTGGCCACGCGTGCTCTGGCTGGCCGTCGACCAGCAGGGCCTCCACTTACTGGAGCATCGCTCCAGAAACGCGCTTTGCACTTACGAATACAACAGTATTCTAAGCTACACTCCGGCCGTTAATTGCTTGATGATCATCACCGGCACGGATAAGAAACAGAGCAAAGTCATCCTCACCACGTCGCAGGTAAAGCGGCCGAATATCATTCCGGCACAAGCTCGGATCGTATATTTGTCGTTGTATCATTAAGTCACTCTAATCACTTCATTATTTGTCATTGATTTAATTTCGATCTATTAAAACTAACTTCCGTTTCATCCTTCAGGCTCATCAAATAGCTAATCTGATTCGCGAATACATGGAAGTGCTTCAATCGCCGCCGGATATACCAAGGCGGGACTCGGCGATGGCTCAACAGTTGGCTGCTCAGCAGCAGCAGCAGCAGCACCAGCAACCGCCCGCGACCCTGACGACGTCCGCGGCCGGCGGACGAAAGTCCCGACCCGCCTCTATGCTGCATAGAGGCGCTCCAATAATACAGTCGCAGGCTAGTTAGAATGGCCAGGTGATTCTCCCGCGAGAGTCAGAGATAGTTTCTCTTCGACCCGGTACCTAAGATCGAGTTCTCATCGGGCGCCGCACGTTCCATTATAAAGTGCCATAAATTCGAGATACGCACACAGCGCCATATAGCGGTACTGTCTATTTTATAAAAAAAAAAAAAAACACGTATATATATACATACACTTACATATATATACACATTGTAATACACACTAATTTTAATCTCCGCTCCGTCTTGTCCATCGCGGTAAAAGAGCTACGTAACTATCTTAGCAGTGTATTCTAACATTAAAGCATATAGAATGACTTTTAGTATCAGGTTGTGGTGAAAAAAAAAAAAACGGTTACGTATTTACGCGTCGCGTCGGATTCAGATTCCGGTTTCATGCCGAATGCAGCTGTCTGATCCTTAACACGATCCTCGCATATCAAACCTAAACAATGTAATCGTCGAAGAGGCGTCTAGAAGACATCCCGATCTTTCGAACATCTTTTAGATATCTTTGAAACATCATTCGGATGTCACTCGGGACACACATTTAGCGCTAAGTAATGCATATTGGCGCGTTTAGCGACGAGTTAGATAGGAAAACGAATATACGGGATGAAGTATTTAATTCACAATGCTTTTTTCGGCCAGGCCTATCGAGGCGACGACGTGCCGCGTCATAAGGACGGCACTCTAGCCTAGGAATACTTATTTCTTCCACTATTTATTCAATTAGCTTAGATCTCGAAATAGCGTCAGGATTAATAGACAGACTTAGATCTCCGCTAACAGCTGACTTCAGCAAGATGAGTGATAAATAACTGCCATTTAGACGAGCTATTGACCGTAACGGAAAATTGCCGAGGACTTTTCCTATTTCTATTATAACAGTTATCATTGTTGCCTTTTTTACGAACAACCGCCGCCACACGGTTTTTGATAACGATTTTTGCAGCACGAGATACAACGCGAGATGCTACACACACGGCGTGTATTTCACCGTTTAATCAATTGCATTCCGATGTCCATGTTTTATCCTTCCGGCATATCAGTTGATATCGATCGAAGAGCGATTAGTAAGGAAACCACGCAATTAAACCACGCGATTACTCATCAAGTGACCAAAAGAATGTAATTCCTCAAACATGACGTGTGACGTTTGACTGAGCACATTGCCTGCTGTCGAGCTAATTGCTGTACGCACAATCATATTGTAAACATGACGAGACAGTGGCGGTACAGAAGTTTATAATATTTATTGATATTATAGATTCGCGCGCGATAAAAAGATCGAAATAAATTATTTAGTGAAAATAATTCACGCATTCGAAGAAAAAAAAACAATTTTGCCGAAACATTTGCGGTTTGAGAAATTTAATATTTAATTAAAAAAAAAAATCTCGATCACTGTTGTACTTCCTGGAAATCCGAAGTCGTAGAATGACTGCCAGAAAGTCGTTTTATTGATATTTACAATAATATATTTAATAAAGTGTAACTTTTGCAAATATTACGCAAACAATTATACTGCATGTCGTGAAACGACTCGCAACGCGTAAGACATAAAAAAATCCAAGTGAAATGATATTCATATTTGGAAATGTTGTATGAAATCGAAATCCGTATTTGGACTTTAACTATTCGCTTCGCTAGGACGATAATCGATTAAAGTAGTAGTTTAAGATTGCCATGAAAGCGTATATATATATATATATATACGAATTCGTGCGAATGACAAGTTCTCGTGATAAACGAGAAGTCAATCCATTTTTTGTTCTGCAGACAATCCTCTCGATATCGTCGCTTCGTCGTGTAAAGTTAATCACTAAATTAGAAAGAGAAAAAAAGAAATAAAAAGAGTAAGGAAAAGTGTTTCTCCATTGTGTCTCCGCGTGATTGATGTAATCTCGCATTTGTGAAAAAAATATGTCTTAAAGTTGCGTCCAATTAATATTTTTTTTCAATTCGAGGGAAAATTTGCTCGTATGTAAATACATGAAACAACGTAAATTAACGGTAAATTAATCATAAATTAATAATAAGTTGCGCACATTGTATCTCCAGTGTTCAAGAGTTTCTCCTTAAAATGCAACTAACGCACATTTTAGGTAAAATCTATGCTGGTCCTAATTTTACATTAGATTTTTGACATGACAGTTTTTGTTTTTGAGAAAACATGCTATTTATGCATGTTTTATTTATAAATTAATTAAAAAAAGAAAGAAAAGGTGGACAATATTTTATATTAGACAGGTTTTAATTTATTATATATTTGCATCATGATTATATGTGAAGCAGAATTAATTTTAAATGTACGATATGAATTTGTCTATAATTAAACCATTTGAAAATGTTACGGAATTATTGAGTTTCACGAAAATGGTTCTCAAATATTCTCAAAACGCATGTGACATTAAAGATTGCCGACAGAGAGGCACAATCTCATCGCGAATATTGTGAAAGAAATGGTTGTTTTGTTGGTTCTCGGTCACACGTGAACGTTTGGCGGAACCTTGACGTGTGCAGAGATAGACTGTGATCCGCTTTGGGAGTCTTTAGTCTTCGAGAGCCGTTTAACTGAGTGAGACTACGTTTCGTGTTATTATACGGTGTGCATGACGATGTGATATACGTGACGCTTGCGTATTTGTGTGTGCCTAGAAAACACGAAGGTTTAAAGAACGCTCTAAGGAACATCTGATTTTTATTTTACCTTCCAGACATTTAGACAACGTGAAAATCTAAGAAGCATCTAACAAACGTTAAAGTATTTAAGTTGTAAGATCAGTCGGAAATCTTTTCGGGACGCATTTTAGATTCTTGTATTGTCTGAACATTTTAACAATTAAATTTGAAAAAAACACCTCTCGGACATGTCAGATGTTCTTTGGACATGTTTTAAATTTTTTGTGTTTTGTTTATATGTGAGAGAGGGAATATGTAACGAGTGTGATTAATTATAGGAACGATTCGCGCGTGTATGCATGTTACTTAAGCGATGGCATTCGCCATGTAGCTTCTAAGCGAAGTATAAGTTATTGGTTGACGATGTTATTGAAATATAAATATATATATATAAATATATAAAAACAAAAGAGAGACGCTGTGTATATAAATATATTACTATATATAGTTAGGTATGAACGCGCGTATGTGCGTTTCAAGAACGGCTGCATAACAGTAAGTGAAGAACCAGCGCGTGATGTCATTGCTGTAAGTGCAAGGGAAAAATTCGCGCCTACACATTATATATAGAAAATATACAAACATTATATATATGAATAAAAAAAATAAATATATACATATATCATGTTATAAAATGAAGAAGAGACTTCCAATTAACGAAAATTTTTACCCTACTCAAATCAAAGGTAAGAACACTAAAATGAATATTCGACCTTTACTCATAATTAGCGGAGGCTTGGACTTTTTTAACAAAAATCTGAAATTCTTAAATTGAAATTTAAATTCTATGTAATATAAAAAATTTCTCTTTAAAATTTAAAATAAAACAATTAATGAAGTTTTAGAGGAATAAAATTCAAATAAATGGCGAGACTTAAATAAATTTGAAGAATTATAATTCCGACACTTATATAAGATTTTAAATCTTCATAACTTTCATAATATTAGGAAATTAATTAAGTGAATATTAATGGAAAAAAAACATTCCAAGAATTCAAATTTCGAAAATGAAATTTTCAAAACCTGCGCTCTTGGAAAATCGACAGTTTTATCTATATCTTTTTTTTTTTATTTGTGACACACTTTTTAGACAATAATCAGACAAATAACAGTATTCGCTCCCTTTGGCGATTGCCCGTGTAATTGCTTGTGCGACACGAGCCAGTTTAACTCGGGGTGCTACAGTATATTTTATCTCTTTATTACAACACATATATACGTATATATATGTATTTCTGCTTTTATCTAATCCTACGCAATTTTCATGGCCACGGCACCGAGGAAGCCAAATCGAGACAGCAAAGACGGTGGCAATCATTTGTGCACGCGTATGTTTTTGCGTTAAGTAATCGTCACAACGACAATGACGATTATATAACAAAAGTAATAAAAATAATAACGTTAATAGTTACAATTGTCGACGCGTAATAAAACTGTAATAATAACAACAATGATCAATTATGACGGTAAGTAACTATCGATTCGAATGTCGACAATCGTTCCGAAAGAGCACAATTAGAATGTCGACATTAACGAAAAAGAGGCACAAAATAAAGAGGAACGTATAAAATGTAACTATTCGTTCTAAAGTGTTGCATTTTACTTGTTCATTTTCATTTCGTGTCTCAAACGCTAGTATCAACATTCTGGCCGTGCTTTCTCCCACTTTTTGTCCGTCGCGACTTTTCCCGCAACTGTCATTTATTAATCTCTCAAATTTTCACACCTTCTCTCTGTTTCTGATCAAGTGCGCGTTTCTCCCGCTTTGCGCGCCGAATCATTCTCGATCTAATCGCTCGGTACACAAAGCGAGAATACGCGCGTAACAAGAACAGTTTATTTTAAGTTTTGCTGACTCTCGTTTTTCCCTCTTTTTTTTTTTGGCACTTGCAATTAAATCGCTGATATTCTTTGAGTAGAGAGAAGGGATGGGCGTGCGCTGAAACAAGCAATTATTCCGGATAATCCTCCGTCAGGTAAAACCTCGAGTCGTATACACGGGACGATGGGTCGAACAGGAAAAACGCGTGTCGCGGGAAAAACACAGGTATCTCACATGCCGGGTGGTTTTCTACCATTAGCTTCTCGTTATCTCTATATCAGAAAACACCGAAAGCGTTTAATACATGTGACTCAGTCCTCACGTGTCTTAGGTTTTCTCTCTTTTTCCCTCCCTTTTCCGTTTTTTTTTTGTATAAAAGCGAGAAACGGCCGTTTGCCGCGCTCGCGTGACCGGCGATCGTTTCGTCGCTACTCTTAAATAACAATTATGAATTTCATTTTGCAAAATGATAAAACACACTCGCGAAAGTAATTTCACAAACGTGGGGATCGTCGATCGATAAATACGCGTAGAACGCGGATCGCCAGTCCGCGACGCTACATAAAAATCGAATGCGCAACAAATTATACATTATATGTATATAGACAATATGTCAGCCGTATATTCCCCTCGATGCACCTTCTTAAAAGTGAATGTTAAGGATTTGCCAAGTGAGATCGTGACGTGAAGCAACGCGCCGTCGTCGCAGCACAGACAGAAATGCCCGCGATTGATTCGGCAACGAAGGGAACACACAATCGGCCTTCAGCACCAGATGATAACACTTCATAATCTAATATTAATATTCTACTACGATTAACGAGATATATAAATACAGTCAAGAAATAAATAATGCTCATTTGTAACGTTTCGCTAATACATCTCTACCGACGCAGGTGCAGAACGGGCCTTGTTTTGGCAACGGACTTTGCATAAATAGAACACATTCGCGTCGTAACGTTCCAGTAAAACTGCAAAAAGGATGACGAAGTTTATTGCACGACGGGTTAAAAACTTGTTTTTTTTTTTTCAGTTACCGATGAATCAAGAGTCGTTAACGAAGTTTCGTGAGTGCGGACGGCCGGTTTTGCACGCGCGCGCTTCTCTATCACAATTGTAAATTATATATATATATTTTTTTCAGACTTCTCGATTCGGTGACAACCACTCTTCCGTCTCAGGTCTACATGGATCACACTCACACACGCACGCACATAGGCTTAGGTAGATATATAAATACTATATAAAGTTAACGATAAGTTAGTGCAATTATAATGCAGCGAATCACCGCACTTCAGCGTACCATCATTTTTTCGTCAGTATTTCGCCCTCAATTCTACCCGTCAAGTTTCTATGTTTTTTTTTGTTGTGTTGTTGTTGTCAATTGTTACGGACGGCTGTTTCCTCTACCCCTTCGCCCCTCTTTCCGTTTCGCCCTTCTTTTCCATCTGTTTGTTATCCGAGGAAATTGTATGTTCGGTTCAATGTTAGACTGTGCATAATCTGCGAGCAGATATACTAAGAAGTTCAATTATCGCAAGGTACATTTACATACTTAAGCTGTGTTAAGTAATATATAGACACAAATAATCTGACTTCTTTTTTTCTTTTAACTACAATAATTCTACTTCTAATTAAATGTACATCGAAAACGCAAAATTATGCAAGTGCCAGAAAAGAAGGTAATTTTTAAAAAATTCTATAATCAAGAGATTTGTATAAATATCACAATAAAAATAAATAAATAAATAAATAAAAGTATTCCGAGATTAAGTACAATAAAATATGTTTGTATAAAAGAAACCTACGAACGATATAAAAAATATAGAATTACGAGAAGCAACATCGGCATTTACATTGCGTTTTGCATTTCCGGTTTACAAACATTCTACGATATCGTGTGTATGCGTGTGCGTGTGTGTGTACGCATGTGTATGTGCAGTGTAATGTACATATAATTCAGTATTTTCATATCGGGAACAGCGATATAAAAGACTAAATTATATACATATACATATATATATATTTACACGCTCGCGATAGCATCAAACTTTTGCATTAATCTGGATATATTTTCTAAATTAAGACGCTTAATCAATTTTACATTCGCGGAAATTAATGAAAGAGCACGATGCTACGAACGCAAGCGAACTACTTAACGAAAAGAAAGTAGGCGACAAAACCCGTTTTTTTTTCCGCCGCTCTCGATGATCGCCGAAGACGGAGAAGTCGGAATACCATCTAACTCGGTTTTTTTTCTTCGAAATCACCGCATCGTTCGAACGGACAACAATTCGGTTTCCGGTGTTCTCGAGAGAGAAAGAGAGAGCTTATCACAATGGCGCGTTGAGATCCGAAGAGAATTTTGACGTTACGTCGGAATTGATTTCGTCGAATCGATGTGCTTGAGGACGGCAATCGTTGTGTTCTTTTATGGCTTTCTCCGGCTTCGGCGATCATCGGGACTGGCGCGAACGCGGGGACAGATTGCTGCGGTAACAAACGTACTGTTACGGGAAACGAGAGGACCGATATGCGGTGCGCCGAAGTAGACATCCGATTGCATTTGATATATTTAAATCGTACGGGGGGGGGGGAGAGTCGCCTCGCACTACGCCCGCGGGGCGACCGTAAGGTTGCTGCTGTTTTTTTTTGTTTTCCCTTTACGAGTTTAACGCACATACATCGTAATCCTAGACGTAACAATATAGGTACAATATAGGTGTGGTTGTAATTTTCTTTCGAAATAACGCACGAGACCGTCTTTAATATTCTTGTTTTTTTTTTGTTTGTTTCTTTTTAAAAGCGTAGGCCGGGCTAACCCGTCTCTTTGTCTCACTCTATCCTCCTTTCTTCCGAGGTCAGGAGTCGTCCATCCGCAATATGGAATCCCCGAGCCGGATCCGTTCCGCGAATCTCCATTTTGACTAGATTTGCAGTAAATGCACATACGTCGACGAAGCTTCGAGCACTGTTCTCTCGCAGCCAGCCTCGCGGCATCCTCAGCGCGGACGCATCGATCAAAATCGGACTCAGCAAAGCTTCCCCGGAGCACTTCCATCCATCCGCGATATATAACAACTCTTCTCCGGAGACGATTTCGACTTCTCCGAGCAGCAGCGCGCGTCTCTCCACATTCGCGACGTTGTTAAACATTAGAGATCAACGATCGGTCGTCTTGCGCCTTCGTCAGGTACATTTACATCGAGACGGTTTCTCTATCGCGACGGGCCGAAGAAAAAATATAAGTGGATAAGTCACGGATAGACAAGGAAAAACGCCGACAGACACAAACGGACGAGCGAACGCTAAAAATCTCCGATTTACGGCCGTCGTCGGTGACGAGGACAATTCGTGGCGACCCTCTGCTGAATATACACGGAGATACACGAAGAATAAAAAAAAAATGTATCGACACGGTCTCGAGAATCGGACGGTCAATACCCCTCGCTTAGAACACTAAAATTTACTGGTCGATAATTATTGCTGTGCAAGCGAAAGCTGTTATTACAGAACGATCGGCCGCGACGTTCTCGGTCGCCCCGAGTGGACCGCTGATGACGATGGCGCGCGTGTTGCGCGCGCGAAACGAGAACAGTCTCACACTCGCTTGCGTTTAACTCTTACTCGCGGGCCCTAAGATCTAGGGAGGACATAAAAATATACGTTTACACAACAACGATATCACGACATCGAGTTTTGCGCGCGCGCCGTCGCCGTCGACGACGACTAAGCCGCGGCTACCAGGGCGGGATGAATTCCGGGGCTTCAAGCTCGACGCTTACGTCGCGGCGCCCGGTAGCTCTCGTCGTTCGGAGGGAGGCACGCGTCAACGAGATTCCCACTTGCGACGCACGATTTCGACGCCTGTCGCTGTCGATTTCCGCTCCCGCTTCACAATTACTACGATTAAACACTAAGGGTTTCTTCTTTTTTTTTTTTTACACTATCGTTAAGTCGCTATCGCTCTATCTACGTTGTTTAGGATTATTAACGACGACTCGCGTTTACGCCGAGAATTCAGAACGTGCTCCAGAAAAAAGAAGAAAAAATGAGAACTACAATCGCGGTTCGTTTTTTTTTTTTTTCGCGTTGTCGAGCGTGCGAGCCGAGGCGAATTTTCGGCGCAAACTAGATGATACACTTCGACGACGTACATTAAAGTTTGGATATATCATGCCCTCCTTTGCTTGTTTCTTTTTGTCCTCGCTCGTCCCCTCCGGTCGGAAATCATCGTCCGACCCGAGAAGACGGAGACGTTCGACTGATAACTACAACGTCAACGTGCCGCGTGTGTTTAAAAGTCACTAACAAAATATTATTACTATTACCCACTTACGCGCTAAAGAGCTTTCAGCTTACTAATTAGGTACAAGAGTCGACGCCACAAGCTTTGTTTTGAAGACACCTACCTAAGAGATAACACGTTTAAGGATCCCGGATGGTGCATCGAAAATCACTATAGATGGACTTGCTGCTCTTGCTTGGACATTTCGGTAAATTTGATAAATCTCTAGAACACTCGCTAGTGTGTACACGACTATTACCACACATATTATACAATCTCGCGCGCCTTTGAAAAATCGCCATAGAGCCGCGGTGCACGGACGATTCGATCACGCCGCGAACAGCCGTGCCTGCTTCTTAAAACTTTTCTTCTACAGAAATATATGGAATATTCGAGGCACACGCTGCTCGCGCTGATGACTGCCGACCGGTGATCAAATCCGTCCGCGCACCGTGGCGCTAAGAGACTCCGAGAATCGCGAGTGCAAATTTATAATATGCCCGTCGCGAAAGTTCTTTTTCTCTCTCTCTCTCTTTTTCTTTTTTTTACGGTCGTCCCTCTCGCTTGTCCACGCCTTACTAAAATAAATGTATATGCAGGTACATATACTTATGGATATAATCTATATCTTTATGTACTTTGATTGGAGACCACCAGTGGACTCTCTCTCTCGAATCTAATAATGTTCACTTAAGGTCTACTTAAGTATAACGCGCGCACGCCCGACGTAGATCGCCCCCAATCGTTCCTGCTTCGATCCGTATCGGCGCGAGCGCGCATTATTTCCCTTTTCTTATTTAGATCCTATCCAAGAAGCGCTGCGAGATGCTCCTCTGTGTGCATGTGTAAAGCTCGATGAGAACTCTTGACTTAGCTCGATTTGGCGCTGGACAACAGCCAGCGAAAACGAGGGCCAATATTAGAATATCGCGTTAAGCAGGGGACGATAGAATACGTTACAAGTGTTAAGCGTGTCTGTAAACTGCGAATCGGTGAGTATACGAATTTCGATTGCCTACTTAACGCAACATCGAATATCGCCGGATGAAAACTCAATCGAGTTATAATACTGGAAGAGATAAACGAAATATTTCTTCTTTTTTTTTTTTCGATTCTGGTTTGCTCTGTGCGCACAATCTTGGCATATAAGATCATCGAGTAAAACTCATTAAGAAATATTCTAACTAGAAAAAAAAAACGATAAAAAACGAAGTTAAAATAACGACAAGTGTGTCAAAAAATTGGTAAAGACCGGTAAAGATATCTCTTTCCAAATTTGTTCGATTTCCTATCTTATATATAAGTAAATCTATATGAAATTGGATTCCCATTGCATCTCTAATAACATTAAATATAATTTAGGAATACAACACTTCAAATTGATTTCTTGATCGCCCAGCGATCGCTCGGCTCACGAAAGCCCACGTTTTCATTCGTTTGTACTACGCCTCATTAAATAGCGATTGCACTTCCCAATAATTCGTTTTCAAGACATCGCGAAATGTCTCGGTTATACTATTGCTGTTTATTTCTAGCAACATCAATTCTTTGGCATCTCTTGCAAAAAAAAAAAAAAAAAAAACAAAGTGACAGTAAAAGATTGCAGCTTCTGCCGATTGATATTTCGTACGATGCCGTAAAATTTCTTCTCGCCGACCTCCGCGTCAAAATCAACGTTTTCTGCCGACTAAAGATATCTCTCCGCAAAAAACGCAAACTCTCAAGAAAACGAAACTTCGGTATTCTTCATGATTCGGCTGAAGTTACCAAATTCTTAGTACCTGCCGTTCAACGTATCTTGATTAGCTGAAAAATCTCCGTTCGCGATGGGCAGAACATCTTCGTCAGACGTAAGTCACGGCCAAAGGAGACCTCGAGCAGCTTCAAAACGCCAATCTGCCGCTGTGCATTTAGCGCATTCGCCACCTTGTTGAACGGAAGGAGTTCGATATTAATTTTGTTTCACCCTCTTCATTAGTTATTAATAATTTCTTATTGCATACCTGGCTGGATTAAAGTCCTTGTTGACCATCGAGAAACCGCGGAATTCTTCTTGATTAATGTAGCTCACTTCGTCCGTGTCTTCCGGCGTCAACACGGGATCCTCTTTCGTGAACTCCGTGTCGAAGTTCATGGCATCCTTCTCGTTTTTCTGAAAATCGCGAGAAACATTGATTGTCACGCAAAGAATCACTTGTCACTTTATTAATCGAGCAACAGAGCGTAGAACTCACAATTCTAGGTCTAATTGGTGGTTTTACCCTGCGCGCTTCGAGCGCTTCCCAGTCCATGTGTTGGAAAAATGGATGGACCTTTATGGCGTTTTCGCCGCCGTTGGCTGAAACACAACCTAATCGCTTGGCAGGATTCTTAGTCATGAAGCCTTTCAAAATAGAAACTCCTTCCTTGGAAATCCATATCGGATACAATACATCATCCCGTAAAATCGATTCGAACAGCTCGTCTTCGTTATCGGCTTCGAAGGGTGGCTGTCCAGCCATCATCTCGTACATCAGAATACCGAGAGCCCACCAATCCACGCTAGCGCCGTATGGCAATTCCTGAAGTATCTCGGGAGCTATGTAATCCGGCGTGCCGCAAAATGTCGACGTTGTCGTCTCTCCGTCGATTATGTTCTCTTTACACATCCCGAAGTCCGCCAATTTAATGTGTCCTTCCGAATCCAGCAATATGTTATCCAGTTTCAAATCGCGGTATATAACGTGATTTTTGTGCAGGAACTGAAGCGCGAGCGTCACTTCTGCCGCATAGAAACACGCCCTCGCTTCGTCGAACTTCCGAGCCTTCTGAATGTGGAACATTAGATCGCCTGAAAAAAAGAAGAAAAAGTAATGGATTGTCAGACAAATAAAATCTTTTTTTAAATATTTTTTTCGATGTTAGATTTGTCTTATATATTTCTTTGTACCTCCGGTCACGTATTCCATGACGAAGAAGAGTCGGTCAGTCGTCTGGAAGCAGCTATGAATAGCCGTGAGAAAAGGATGCTTCGCCGCTAGGGCCAAAATCCTCTTTTCCGTCATCGTGCAGTCCACATCGTCGTCTTGTATAATGACGTCCTTCCTCAAAATCTTCACGGCGTAGACCTCGTCGGGGTTAGCCTTTCGTTCCACTAGCATCACTTTACCGAAACTGCCTTTACCGAGAACCTTAATAAAATTAAAATCGTCTATACCGAATTTTCTTGGTTCACTGCCGTTAACAGGCACTGCATTTTCATTGGCGTTAATTGATGTGTCTACTTTTTGACCGGCCTGCATCGATCTGAAATCTGTGGTCATTTCGTCTATTCCAGACGTCGGCGGGCCGGTCACTCTGTAATTGATTTTCGGCGTTTTAACTTGCTTGTCCGCCGAGATATTCATCGTTTTCAGAATCTCGGCCATCGCCTTAGTATTGATACCGCAACTGTTCGGTACGTTCTTCTGGCACCGTTTATGAACATTCATGTTGCAGGCTGCGAAGGAAGGAAAGAACAGCACACAGTTTAATAATCTTTCACTTTGCGAGAGTTTTTGTCAGCAATATTAATTAATCGCGTCAGCTTACCTTCACACTGGAAGCCTTGCTTGTATAAACCGTATAATAAGGATCCGCAGTGGTCGCAAAATGTAAATCTCTTGTAATTATGAACAACAAAGCGATGCGGCATGTCTATGCTGAAGCGCGGGCTCTCCGTGTCATGGCTGGACTGTAATCCAGTTCCTTTACCCTAAGTGAATAATTCGAAAAGTAAACTAAGAGAACAAGCGGAACAAAACGTCGCAACCTAAGTACAATAAAGGCGATTATTTATAATACAAAAAGAAAAAAAAGAGATATGATTTATCGATTGAAATTATCTATAGACATCTAATTAAAAAACTAGAAAATGTGGCAAACCATTCAAAAACAGAATGTACAATAGTCTCAATAATATCAATACGCATTGCTGATAATATTTTTGTTATTCATTATATCACGTTATTGTGAAGAAAAAGAAAACTGGCGAACCTACCTCGTCCCTCATTCCTGGACATTTAGTTATGACCAATTTATGACACCTCTTGTGGACTACGCAAGTGCACACTGAAACAGTATTGCGACAAAAGTCTTTTTAGAAAAATGTTTATTTCCGAGAAGAAACGTCAAATGCTGCACGTCCAAAGCTGATTGCATGCGTGATTAGACCAGAGAATTATTTTGAAGTATAATATTCTCAGCGGAAATAAAATTGCGGTTTATTTAACATTACGTCGTCCTAGAATCGGCAGAAGCTTAAAAAAAAAATGGGTTACAGAATTCTAAAACGGTGTTGAGCATTTTTATCGACTTTACAAGATAATGAATAAAAAAAACTTAAAGGGCAACATGCACAATAAGACTTCAGAGTCCGGCGACAGATCCGCGTTGCTAAAGCGGATAAAATGTAATTCAGGCGGAGACCCCGGCCAATTGTGTTAAGAGTGTCAAAAATTCTGCCGTTGCGTGGCTCAAAGCATTCGTAACGTAAGGCACAAGCACACTTTATTGTAAAGCAAATTAATCCCATGACGGCCATAAGTGTTACCAGTACATTCGTGGCGAGCCGTGAAGTGCACAAAGGACGCGCTGTGCGGGATGTTAAAAATAAAAGCGTTGAAAAAAAGTAAACTGTAATCAATTGATTAGTTTGAAAGAGCCTTAATTTAAAAAAAGGGAGTTTAATGAAGAGCCGTGAGTTTTCTCATCTTAAAAACTAAAAATCGTACATACACACTCGTGCAAATGCGCATACATTCATTCGCGTAAGGGTGCGGCAAGCGGGTAATTATAATCTGTTAATAACAGTGTATGTGTCTTCTCACCTTGGCATTGATAGCCCTGCTTGCCCAAGCCCCTGAAATACAACAGACAAAAACACGTCACATCGTATCCTCATGATCCCTTTTAAGACACATACGTTTGCCTCCTTCAACCGTACTTAGTCATCGTCCGCGTTTAGAACTCCTGATAAAGAACTTGTGCGATTGATGCAAGAGAGAAGTCATCGACTCATAGAATTGCAGTTTTTTTTTGCATCCTGCCATTTTTTTTTTTTTTTTTTCTTTCTACTAATTGCATTTACTTAGGAATATTGTTCGCCGGTTGAATTATGTACGTAAACGTTTCCAACACCTCGATACCCTGAGATGGATTTTAGTGGACTGTATAGGACGTGTGCTTTGATAAACCCAAGCATGCGACCCGATTAAAAGGGAGGAATTTATTCCAAACGGCACTCGCAATGTATCCTGAAACTGTAGCAATACCAAGCCCTGCTTTTATTATCCATCGCACATCCGTGTTCTTTCCTCGACTTTCAGTGGTTCGTAAAAAAATTTAATCTCTGATGCAAACCATTGTTAACAAATGCGATATTCTTCTTGGCATTGCTAAAGTAGATTACAAGATACAAGAGCCGACCAACTACCCTGAGACATGCAACCCTGCGTTTCGTAGATTTTCAATTAATTTCGATATATACGATTGTATCAGCTCTTGTGGGCGGATACTACACTCCTCTTTGTAACTGTAATTTTGAATAAAATGTACATTGATTCAAGCATGCTCCCATTTTCCAAATGTTTCGAGGTGGTAGTGCACTCCGCTCTCAAAAATAGCATCAAGTACTTTATGCATAAGACCTTAAGCAATGAGAAGCAACGTGTACGCGTAAGTGTACGTACCATATAAAATCACGGCAATGCGAACAGAATGTGGGTTGCCTGAGGAAGGTGGCCATAAATTTGTGCCCATTCACTTGATGGATCCTTCGTCGCATTGCACCTCTCCGCCGATTGAAGCCCTGTCTCTCCATAAATTCCCGCCGTGGTTCTTTACTCGAATTGATACTGCCGGTGCCTCTGCTACTGGTGCTTTCTCCGTCGCCCCCCATGCCGCAACTCGTTTGTGGATCTGAAATATAAAAAAAGTATTACTGAAAAGAAAAGGATCAACTTTCATGTAACGAAAAGTGACATCATGTCTCTTTGAACTCCTGTCTTTCGATTAACTGTTAGAGTTTTCTTTAAAACGCATCGTAAGCTTTAGTATTCTTTAGAAAAGTGCTAGATTCTTCTGAATTATATCGAAATTCTAAAAATAAGGCGCTAACTTTACAGCGAACAGTATTTTCACATTTTCAAACAGTGCGATAAATCTTGCTAAGATGATCGTATATATTTTAACAAATCGTACATGTTTATCAAATACCGAGATTTCTCTTACCTTGATCATTCCATTGCAACGATATCTTCACTCTCATTTTTCCTTGAGGCTCCAGGTCAACCTGCAACAATTATTTATATTGTTAATAATTAGTTCGTAATTGCATGTAACAAAGAGTACAGCTTATTAATAAGATATATAGGCAAGCTATTTGAATCAAATCACTTCGTAGAATTCTTGTACTGCACGTCGATGAAAATGACAATGTTTTGTATTCAAAACTGTTTCATTTTTTTTAAATTCTATGCATTGTTTCTCAAATAACAATCAAATAGCTCGAGTACAGAACATCAGAATTGCTACTCCGCACGACTTCAGCTTAACGAAAGATTCAGCAGACAACTAACCCAGAAGTCGGTGGTCTTGCCGTCCCGGTTGATGAGCTCCTCGAACGGGATGGTGCAATTGGCAACAAAGTAATCCGGCGGCAGTGCCGCGTCGTGGAAGACGGTGATACCCAGCATGGCCGCGTTCTGCACCTCGATGGTGAAGCTCTCGTTCCACACCGGGTCGAAGGTCTTCGGCTTGGTGGACGAGCGGTCCAGGTGGTTCTCGTCGACGTCCAGCTGCACGTAAGGGTCGAGCATCGGCTCGTCCTGCCAGAACTTGCGCTGCTTGTCGGTTGCGCGGAGTCCCACCGCCTCGCAAATCTCGATCTTCACCGTGCCCGTGAACATCGTCATTTTGTGATGATATCCGCGACAGATGGGTGGTCAGTGAAGACAGAACCCGAACAACGGAGACGGGAATCTGTCACGCCTGTCGACGAACTGACACCACGTTCGTGTGTGCCGCGAACAGGTTATTCCGGAGTCGCGGACGATGGTCTGCGGCCGCCGCACTACCGTTGCCGTTGTGCAACGGGACGTCCCATCGCCGGGTGCACGTCGAAGAAGCGCGGCAAACGAGGGACACGGCCGTCGTCTCGTTTTTCGCGGAAAAAAATACGTCGTCCGAAAATGTTGTCCCTGTCACCGCCTCGGCGGCGCTCTTGGCCAATCTCGCTCCTCTCTCACGGAGCGCGCTTCTCATATATGTATATGTATATGTATATTGGCGATTGCGTCTCTCCTTTTCTCTTCTTCACGCTCTATCTGTCCCTCCGTCACTCTTACCTTCTCACTCTTTATCTTTTTCTCTTCTCTCCCTCTCTCGCTTTCTCCGCTTCTGCGCTGTCAAGTTTCCTTCTCTTTCACGTCGTCCCTTTCCCTTTCTCTGCACCTCCGCCGAGCACACTGACGAACAAACGGCCGTTCAATTATAAACACTTTGTAGCTTGTTGTGTGCACGTACAACACGGCCCGCTCGTCGATTTTGGTGCTGATCGCGGCACGACGACGGGATGACGGAACGACGATGTTCGCGACGGCGCGACGACGACGACGAGGACCGCGAGGCGCGAGTGTGAGGAGGCCTGCCCTCGTCCCCTCGCTGTCCTGACACCCATCAGGCTTAATGTTCACCTCATGCACCTGTCCCGCGTTTTTCTTCTGTCTCCGTTAAGAGCGGCGTGTAACTCCGCGACACACAGCTCTATCCACGGCGGAGACGACGGAGATGTATCCATATATCTCGAGAGGAACGAGCTTCACCTGTCCTGGATTGTCTCGCACCGACCTGTACGGACCCGAGAACCGCTCGATTGGTCGTTTGCGCGAAGTGTCGGCCGCGTCCTCGGTGCGTCTCGGATGTTTTCGGACGTCTCCGTTATTCCAGACATGCGGAGTTTTCGATTCGAGTCCAGTGTCTATTCATTTTTCAACTGCGTTTTGTGCAATTTCCTGTCACTTTTCTCCTTCCTCCTTCGCCCTACAAAGCCGAAATAATATACACTTATTTTTATTCTAAATTGTATTTATTTCTTATTAGTCCACCAATAGTTAAAAAATCGTAATATTATCAATCGCCTTCATCATTATTAAAGAAGAAGAGCAAAAAATGGAAATAGAAATGACAAAAACTAAATAAATATATTCATTTCATTTTGAGTAATATTATAACCTATTTTTGATTTTTTATACTTGTGTTTTCGTTCACTAGCTTTTAACTGGTAATTTTGCGTTGATAATTAAAGCGGTTACGCTCTCGTTGTGCTATCTTTTTCGAAGCTATTATAAACAAGAAGATATGACATTTTCACTTGTAAAATTATGTATGCCATTAGTTTACAACAGTGCTTTGACTGTCAAATGGCGATGATAGCGACGCTGGTAAACGTGGCAGGCACGCGAAGTTTTACTAACTTAATAATTTTATCGACGGTAGATGCATCTATAAAATTATCGACAGCAAAACATCTACTGTCGATAAGGTTATTTACTGATAAACGACATATGAAATCTCTTATGCCCTATCTACACCGAAGGATGATCCTGCTTGTGGCTCATCCGAGCGAGTAATGTAAACGAATTGAAAATCACACTGAAGGCGAAAGTGGTCGGATGAGCCACAAGCAAGATCATCCTTCGGCGTAGATAGGGCATTATACTCGTGATTAACTTGATGATTCTAATCATCTATTATTGCTTCCCGCAAGGATGACTGAATCGCACAGTCATTTGGGCTTAGCAAACCCATGGACCTGAGCTCACACACTGCGGTCATACACACACAAATACACAAGCACACTTACATTTTACACATAATAATCACAGTATCCTATAATTACCACCCCCACCAGAATCAAATAGCCTATTATTGCTCTTAACGTTGTGAAATAAAAATACTCTGTCATGAGATACTGCAAAAATATAAATTATCAGTTTATTACATTATTTTTATCTCTGTATGCGTATTAAGAATATTATAAAATATGATATACTTTAAAATAATATTCAAGAGATAAATTTGGTAGCAGGCTTCCCATATTTGTTACAAGCGGTTTTCACAACATATTATATATTGTCGTCGCAACCAATTCATTCTAAAATAATAACAATATTATCAATAATTAATAATTAATTAACAGAAATCTTTAGTGTTCATTATTTATATTTTTTTAAAATCATCAGCTGGTCAAACAATAATGTATAATTTGTATTTTTAATAATGTATAATCTTTGCGCTGCACCAAGCGGGAAAATTAATTAGCATTACAAAAAATAAATGACAGTTATTATATCTATAAATTATAATGATAATTTCTATTATTTATATTGGTTATTAATGGACTTCAATTTTGAAACAACCATTTCACTAATAAATGTTCAAAAAATTTTTAAAAGTTATAACTAAAATTATTTAGATACTTTTATAATGTTTTCTTAATTGTTATCTTACTCGGTTATTTTTTTATGTTCCTGAATACATAAATGTATCTGCCGCTTACTCTCCGCATCTTTTATTTTCAAGCACAACATTTCTAATCTGACGGATGCGTAAAACGTGAATATGGAAAATGTGAAACCTGCATTGATACCAAGCATAGTTTGTACGATACTGTAGAGACGTGCATGACATAAATAGCAGTTATCAGTAGGCCACGATTCAGTAGGAAATGGATACCATTCTTCTATAGGAAATTTCGTCGAGAGAAAAAAAGGACCGCACGAAAAGACGATGATCGCTAAAACGTGGCATATTACAACAAATAAGGCGAAATTGGAGTAACGATCTATGTACTTCTACAAAATGTTTTTTTTTTCGGTTGTTGGAAGCATGATGAAAATTCTTTATCTCCTTTAAGAAATGCTAAATTTATTTAATGACTTTATTAATAATAGGCAGAGGAATATGTTTAATGATATAGCAACAGTAATAAAGCTGATTAAGTAATATTTTGTATAAAATAATATTAGTTAAGATTTTTAATTTATGAGGTAAGCCTTTTCAAAACAAAAATAACTCGAAATGCGTCATCTTCTATGCATGCTTATTTTGTTATCACATTTTAATATAATATATTTATATAATGACGCTATCGTTATGTGTCGTGTTATCGCGCAAATTAAATTATTAAATTATTATATTATTATATAATCAAATTATTATTAATTGCTTTCTATAAAATAAAATATACTTGATCATTTTTCACGATTTTATATTTTAATCTATACACCAACCAATTGCTTAATAACATTATAGCATTATAATATTATATGGTGTCAAATGTAAAGCTAAAATATGAACAAAACTTTGTACAAAAAGTTAATTAATCAAGAAAAAAATATAATTTTAGATTTTTTATTACGGTAAAGAATGTTTATACATGATGCAAATGTAAATATTTTATCAATATTAATGTCAATATTTTGTGCAACTTCATGTATGCACATGAATCAATAATATTTTAATACAAATCGGCCAATTTGCAAATCAACTAGTCTCTTTGCGCTTTGATTAACTTTGCCGGTCACATCACGAGGTTTCATAGTAACTTTTCGTTTTGGTCAACCAGTTTGAAAATTAACCGCAAACGTGTTGCTAAAACTTAAAGAGTAAATTATATCATTGCTACACATTCAGATATATTAAACAATTCGTTTGTTTTTTGAAGTATATAATAGTTTAATTTATTATCGAATTTATTCAAGCATGAATAAATTCCTAAATTTTTAGATGTAATTTATTTTAAGATAAATAATTAAAATATATAATCACTTTAATTAATCACGTATTCAAAAACAGAACTTTGTGGCATTTATCTTCTGCAAGTATAACAACCAATAGACATTTTTGTAATAAAGTTGCAAATTTTATCATCAACTAATATATTAGATAGCGTGTGATATACGTACAATGTTGAATATAGAGAAATTTTACATATTTTTAAGCGCCATAAATTATGTAATTAATACAAAAAGTTAGTAATACATTTTTCTATATACAAATTATTTATTCTTAGAAATAAATTCACAACTGTCAAGAGTGGCAGTTGATATGCAACCCGTCGGCAACTTACCCCTTCGTGTCTGGCTTTTACCCTCAAACAATTGAACGGAGCAAATGCGGGAATAATAAATCTATACTTTATAATTAATTTATACAACTTCTGATTCTCCGGCTAATCCACAATTCACGACTCTTGTTGACAAAAGTTGCGAAAACACACCTTCCTAAGTTCGCAACTCGGTTAGGCGGTTACCCACTCAGCGGTTTGCACTAATGCAAACGCAAATCTTAACGCGCCTTCTCTGACAGCAACAAACTCCGCAGGTTTCCCCGACTTCGGCTTACGCAAGTTCTGTTAATTAGTGCATCGCGCTACCATACTAAGCATTATTCCGTTGTGATTTCATTTCGCCATCGTCGCCAAAATTACTATACGAGCGTAATAGATTCGCGCAAAGAATGCCCTCAAAATTCCCGAGTAAGCTCTTTCGCAGAACGTAAAACCTGACTGTTCTCTATTCCTTAAAGAAGCGTTTCAAATTTGCATTGCATCGAGAGAGAGAGAGAGAGAGAGAGAGAGAGAGAGAGAGAGAGAGAGAGAAAAAAGCGTTCCCGCGCTCGCTCTCTTGCTTGATGCATCGCCGAGCATTTCTGATCATAACCCGTGAAAGTTTGAGACCATATTAAACTTTATATTGCCATCTGCCGCGGGAAGAGCTTTATATACGGCTTTATACTGTTTCGCGTCCATGTTGCGACACGAATTTACGAGTGATATTTTGTTCCACTCCGGTCGTGTCAAATCTTTTTTCGAGATCGATGATCTCTATTTCATTATTGCCATCTGACTCTGCAGAGTTTCGTTTCATTTCTTACTAAGTAAAATTGCAGTGGATTTCTAATTCTATCAATATTGTACTATAATTACTGCAAAAAGAATTAGTTTTTTATGTTCAATACATTCAGTCTTGAAAGTTTAAGATATTTTAGACAATGTAAAATTAACAGTAAAATTTGAGATAGAATTTTATTTGTAATTTTGTAGCGTGTAAGAAACACAAGAAAATTTTAAAATTTTAAAAAACCAGAATATACATATGTATATAGAATATATATTAGTAGAACAGATATATATATTTTTTCTATCTACGTAATCCAGTTCTCTTTAAGTTTCTTCTATTCGATAAAATTAAAAATTAAAAAGATTTCTATCTCAAATTTCGCGAATTAGGTCGTCCAAAACGAGATTTAGATTATTTGACTATTTAGACGAGATTTAGATCGTGCATATATCAGACGAAAATATAAAAATAAATAAATATAAAGTATTTGCAAATTAAAAAAAAGCCAAGACTTCGAAATCCGAAATTACCAAAATTTCCAGAAATTCTCAATGCTAACAAAAGTATATTACAACTAAAATTTTTTGATACTTTTGACAATAATTTTGATAAATTTTTGCATTCGGAGTTATATGATAGGCGAACTATGTTGCTGAACACAGTTGCAATTAAAACTTTTATTTGGTCTCTAACTAAAATCAATTTCAACGAATATTTGAAACGTGTCTATTATATACATATAGCCTTTCTCTAATACAATCGAAAGAGACTTTATTGTCGATTACATTTCGGTTGTTCTATTCAGCTCGGTATTGCTGTGTGTTTCTCTATCCATCAAATATAAAATAAATAAATATAACAAATAAATATAAAGAAATTAAAAGTAACAAAATGAATATGCATAATGTACAAAAATATTGATACAGAAGATTGCCCCAACATTCGCAATATTACTTCATTGCTTTTGTGTATGTACTTATTGTATATCAATTGTGTATATAAAAATAAACCGTCAGAAAATTTGTTATTAAAATAAAAATTGCTAGTTATTGTAAAATATTTTCTAATGCACAATATTTACAGAAATATATATTTGGTATTAAACAAGTATTAACAAGTATAAAATGCATTTAATTTCTTTTTTGTAAAACAACAGTGATTTCGAAGCAGAAAAATCTCATGAAAATTGTAAGTAAAAAAAAAATAATTCATGCATTTCGTACGACTAATTAGTTCATCATTTCGCTCGATTCTGCACAAACCGACGCGACTGATTAGAATTCCCAAGGCGCATCTTGCAAGGAAGCGCGCCGCGAGCGCGTTAATCCCTTAAGTAGTGATAACACAACGAAACTTTATAATCCAGTTTTGGACGCGTGTTCTCTCAAATACGCGACTCTCCTCCTTCTGTTTCCCTTGTTCCCTTTCCGCGCTTTTGCAGCCTCATCATGAAGCGTGTTCTTTGTTCTGTTCAACTGGATAAG